CTTTTTTTGTCTTCTATATCCTACTTATCTTCGAGAGTGAAATGAAAGGCGAGAATGGGGAGGGAGGACACAGGAAGATGAATGAAGATGAAGAGGAACAAGAACGGTATTACTGGAAACGGTTGGGAGGGAGGGAGGGGGGGGAGGGGGTAAGAGGTGATGAGGGGAGAGGTGGAATAATGTGAGGAACGGAATGGTGGGGGTGGGGGGATGGGAGGGGGGATGCATGTCTGATGGGAGTTCCTCCTTAATAGCTAAAGGAAAGTGGTGGGTGATGAGAGAGGAGGGAGGGAGGGTCTTGAGGGGGAGATAAGATGTGATGGAGGAGGAGGAGTGAGGTCGTTTGGGTTGGGGGGGGGGAGGGGGTAGAGGGTTGGGGGATGGGGTGGGAGGGATTTTACCGACAAGTCTCGGAGACGAGAAATACCCGATTCAGGTCAAGTGGACACGAAGAGACTGAGAACAAGCCCACATTTCTCTCGCACATTTCAATATTTTTACTTTACAATATTTTTACTTTACTTTTATTTACTATCTCTCTCTTTTTTTCTTTTTTCTCTTTCTAAGAATCTCTCTCTCTCTATCTCTCTCTCTCTCTCTCTCTCTCTCGCTCCTCTCTCTCTCTCTCTCTCTCTCTCTCTCTCTCTCTCTCTCTCTCTCTCTCTCTCTCTCTCTCTCTCTCTCTCTCTCTCTCTCTCTCTCTCTCTCTCTCTCTCTCTCTCTCTCTCTCTCTCTCTCTTTCTCTCAGGTTGTGTGTCTTTCCGCGGTAGCGGAGCGACGACCCTCCGACGGCTCCCTTCACCGAAGTGCTCACCCGTCCTCAGCGACGCGTCTGTCCCACCCATGGAATGGCACTCCTGTCATGCATCCGTCCCCAGCTTGTCTCTCATGCCGGTTGTAGGGCGTCGGTATCGGTCTCCTCATCTGTCTCATAGAGAAGGCCTCGCCTGTCTACTCTGTCTGCGGTTGTCACGCCGTCTCTCGTGTTTGACACGTGATAGATGTCAGCACTCTCAGTCAAGCAGTCATTTCGCGGGTGATTGATATCACGAATCTCTCATTTAATCAATCATTTGGCCACTGATTGATATCAGGAATCATCCAGTAAATCGCTGATTTAACACTATACACATATATCATTAAAAGTACTAGCAATACATCTATAAACTACAACTACATTAACGTGTTAGTCGAAGTGAGTTACACTGCAGGTTCCGGTGCTGTGGAATACAAACATGAGCAAATACACAGCGTGACGCTGTGAACTATAAACAGCGACGCAGTAACCTGCCAACACGGATGCTTTAGTCTTATAAACGACTTTAGCGTCATCTTGCTGAGCGTTCTGGCGCAATCTCTCGCTCTCTTCATGGGGGTCCAGGATGGCCAAGGCTTCTGTAAACCAACACTATGCTCCCCCCCCGTTCCGCAATTCCATACTCTTGATGTCGAGTATACAAAGTAAACTCGCTACGTAAATGGTCATTACCCGGGCAACGCGAAACGTTGTCCGGAGATTTATGTCGTGGTTAATTTCCTCTCCCGGGTTTTATCCTCCATGGCTTCTCTTCTTCGCCGTTGGATTCTGTGTATTTCTGTCTCCATAATTGAACTGTTTATGCATTTCCGTTCCCATCGGTGCATTGCTATTAATTTCCGTTTCCGCTATTGTATTCTCTATGATCCTGCCTCTATGGTGCCATTTCGACATTTGTTGTACTCGCCTAGTGCTTGCGGGGGTTGAGCTTCGGCTCTTTGGTCCCGGCTCTCAACTGTCAATCAACCGGTGTACAGATTCCTTAAGCTGCATGGCTCTTATCATATCTTTATTTGAAAGTTGTTGACCAGACCACACACTTGAAAGTGAAGGGACGACGACGACGACGTTTCGGTCCGTCCTGGACCATTCTCAAGTCGATTGTTTATTAGAAACTGTGTATGGAGTCAACCCCCACCACATCACTGCCTACTACGAGTGATGTCTTTCTGTATCACTACTGTTGTATGTCTGTTGCATCGGTGCATGCTCCCGTTGTGTTCAGTTCTCACCGTTGCAGCTCCTTCCGACTTCTCACTGTTTATTCCCGTTGTGGTCATTTCCATGCCACTGCTGCACCTTACCTTTACTGCTGCACCTTACCTTTACTGCTGCACCTTACCTTTACTGCTGCACCTTACCTTTACTGCTGCACCTTACCTTTACTGCTGCACCTTACCTTTACTGCTGCACCTTACCTTTACTGCTGCACCTTACCTTTACTGCTGCACCTTACCTTTACTGCTGCACCTTACCTTTACTGCTGCACCTTACCTTTACTGCTGCACCTTACCTTTACTGCTGCACCTTACCTTTACTGCTGCAGACAATAAATAGGAACTATAGTGTTTCGCGAGAACATTTAAGTCAAAATCAGGTTTTACGCGTTAAAACAGCGATGTCAGTTCTTAAAACAATAAGTACTGTCTCGAATGACACTAGATCTACTTTTAATAAAAAAAAATGCCTGTCTCGAACATAGAGAAAGTCGCCCGGACACAAGTCACCCGGACACAAGTCACCCGGACACAAGTCACCCGGACACAAGTCAACCGGACACAAGTCAACCGGACACAAGTCACCCGGACACAAGTCAACCGGACACAAGTCACCCGGACACAAGTCACCCGGACACAAGTCACCCGGACACAAGTCACCCGGACACAAGTCAACCGGACACAAGTCACCCGGACACAAGTCACCCGGACACAAGTCACCCGGACACAAGTCACCCGGACACAAGGACACAAGTCACCCGGACCGGACAAGTCACCCGGACACAAGTCACGGACACAAGTCACCGGACACAAGTCACCCGGACACAAGTCACCCGGACACAAGTCACCGGACACAAGTCACCCGACACAAGTCACCCGGACACAAGTCACCGGACACAAGTCACCCGGACACAAGTCACCCGGACACAAGTCACCCGGACACAAGTCACCCGGACACAAGTCACCCGGACACAAGTCACCCGGACACAAGTCACCCGGACACAAGTCACCCGGACACAAGTCACCCGGACACAAGTCACCCGGACACAAGTCACCCGGACACAAGTCACCGGACACAAGTCACCCGGACACAAGTCACCCGGACACAAGTCACCCGGACACAAGTCACCCGGACACAAGTCACCCGGACACAAGTCACCCGGACACAAGTCACCCGGACACAAGTCACCCGGACACAAGTCACCCGGACACAAGTCACCCGGACACAAGTCACCCGGACACAAGTCACCCGGACACAAGTCACCCGGACACAAGTCACCCGGACACAAGTCAACCGGACACAAGTCACCCGGACACAAGTCACCCGGACACAAGTCACCCGGACACAAGTCACCCGGACACAAGTCACCCGGACACAAGTCACCCGGACACAAGTCACCCGGACACAAGTCACCCGGACACAAGTCACCCGGACACAAGTCACCCGGACACAAGTCAACCGGACACAAGTCACCCGGACACAAGTCACCCGGACACAAGTCACCCGGACACAAGTCACCCGGACACAAGTCAACCGGACACAAGTCACCCGGACACAAGTCACCCGGACACAAGTCACCCGGACACAAGTCAACCGGACACAAGTCAACAGGACACAAGTCACCCGGACACAAGTCACCCGGACACAAGTCACCCGGACACAAGTCACCCGGACACAAGTCACCCGGACACAAGTCAACCGGTCACAAGTCAACCGGTCACAAGTCAACCGGACACAAGTCACCCGGACACAAGTCACCCGGACACAAGTCACCCGGACACAAGTCAACCGGTCACAGTCAACTCGAGTATAGGGAAAGTTAATACGGTTGTGTCCGCATTTGAGACTCGCCGCTCTAGCCTCCAGAGCCTGCAAATACCAATCAGTTAGATCCAGTTGAAGGAACAACTAACTCGTAACTTTCTATTAGAAGTAGATTAAAAATTAAGAGGAAATAAAGATGTTAGGCGTTGCCTTATTATGTTGACCAGTATGATTATATTCTAATATATGTGTAGTGTGTTGTATGGATCCTATATGTCAAGACACGCTGATCATAGCCGGTGGTGCGAGAGGGTAGTGTAGGCATCTTGAGCACCGGACCTGAGGTCGGGGTGAGTGAGCACCGACCCAAGGAAAATGGGAAGTAATTAATGGAAATGTATCAGTAATAAACAAATCCACAAGGGCCGTGACGAGGATTCGAACCTACGTCGGAGAGCATCCCAGACGCTGCTTTAATCGACTGAGTACCAGTAATATTGTTGAAATTGCTTGACCCAGAAAGATGTTAACAGGAATCTGGATTCTTATAGTAATAGCTTATTGATGGTGGGTTTAGGCCAGGTATGTTTCAGCCTCCTAACGTAAGGTTGAAATAGTGGGATTGTATTCATGAGTACAAGGAACATAAGCCCTAATGGCGGCGGCATCAATGCTCTTTTACACCTCAGGTTAACTGTAAAGTAAATGAGGTACCTGTTAGTTTCAGTAAGGAAAACTATTGCATGTAATGAGATATTCATTTTGCCACCCGTTCTCGCACTTGCGTATAGTCAATATTGGCTTATTTAATAAGTGCATATGTGACATACTAATTGATTGTGAATATTTTAGTTTACCTTGAAAAGCTTCATAGAAAACACCGACCTCATCTAACCTTCTTAGTATGTTAAGATAAGCATCTTATTGCTTCTTAATTACAATTATTACTTAACCTATACAATTAATAGGTCAAGTAATAATTGTAAATAAGAAGCAATAAGATGCTTATCTTAACATACTAAGAAGGTTAGGTGAGGTCGGTGTTTTCTATGAAGCTTTTCAAGGTAAACTAAAATATTCACAATCAATTAGTATGTCACATATGCCTTATTAAATAAGCCAATGTTGACTGTAAGCAAGTGCGAGAACGGGTTGCATTTTGCCACCCATTGTGAGAGTATGGCCATTTAATAATAAGAGGTAGAGAAATGACTAATGGTTCATCATGCATTTGGCAGCCTACCAGTTGGCCACAGGCCTGTGGCCAACTGGTAGGAAGAAGATGGACTAGTACTTAATAATAAATAGACAGGCTTCCGAACACATTTTCATGTTCGAACACGGCACCTGTGTCCATATAAGTAGGGAGCACATCTCCCTCAGCCTGCTCTTGATACTGGTAATGGCTCAAAAGGGCCACCACTTACGGGCTATTCATGCCCGTGCCACCTTTTGGGTGGCTTAATCTTAATCAATCAAGCATTTTTGACGCATTCTCACGCTCGTAAATCAGTCTGGAGCATTATTGACGCATGCTCACGCTCGTAAACCAGTCTGGAGCATTATTGACGCATTCTCACACTCGTAAACCAGTCTGGAGCATTATTGACGCATCCTCACACTCGTAAACCAGTCTGGAGCATTATTGACGCATTCTCACGCTCGTAAACCAGTCTGGAGCATTATTGACGCATCCTCACACTCGTAAACCAGTCTGGAGCATTATTGACGCATCCTCACACTCGTAAACCAGTCTGGAGCATTATTGACGCATTCTCACACTCGTAAACCAGTCTGGAGCATTATTGACGCATTCTCACGCTCGTAAACCAGTCTGGAGCATTATTGACGCATCCTCACACTCGTAAACCAGTCTGGAGCATTATTGACGCATTCTCACACTCGTAAACCAGTCTGGAGCATTATTGACGCATCCTCACACTCGTAAACCAGTCTGGAGCATTATTGACGCATTCTCACGCTCGTAAACCAGTCTGGAGCATTATTGACGCATTCTCACGCTCGTAAACCAGTCTGGAGCATTAATTGAGAATGTTGACATTCAGTGAGCGTAACTTTAACACGTGTGGTGTAAGTTTGAACGGTCATACAGTTCATTGCTTGTTATATGTCAATAAACATACTACTTGTCTATTCACCATCTCTTTAATTCTCTATTTTTTCACATCGTGTCAATTTTCCCCTCAACTGTTTCGACCGCGTCAATTCCGACTTTTATTTTTTCTTTATAGTTACCAGCTCCACAGTTAAGTCCCTATTGTTATCCGGTTGTGTAAATTTCCGCCCCGCTTTTCCATTCTCCATTGTCCCCAAAATATCCAGCTGTCATAAAGGCTTAGTCGAAAGTCTGGTAAGTTGCGAGTCAGCAAGAATGAGTTTATATTTTATGTTAATTTGCTTCGGATGCTTCGAAAATGTGGGAACAAACTGCTCATTAATATATGCGCACGTTGATTGGGTTATTACCGGGACAATTGTAAGAAATTATATTAAAAGATGGGTAGTTTGTTTTAGAAAATTTTCGCTTTCTTAGTCATCTCTGCAACAAAGAAAAATTAGATAATGTGCAATTCAGCCAGACACATTGTAATTTTCTGTATCTTTAGCAGTTGTATATAATAATAATTTTAGCATAATAATAATAATAGATAATCATAAAACCGGTTAAGATACATAACGTTGCAATGTTAAATATATATTATAAATATGTTTAGTGGTTAAAAAATATATATTGTTAAAAAATCTGAATTTCATGCAATGTCTGCCCCTCGTCATCTAGTGTCTCAAGATGTAAACTGAGCCTCTCATAATTGGCGGCCTCTGGTTGGCTAAGGAGGGTAACTTGTTCGTTGATTGGCCAAATTTCATGGCCTAAGTTAGTAATTAACCATCTAGCCAATATTTCAAAACAACCAATTGACAAATTTTTTGTTATACTTAAAGGTTATCTTAAATGGAATCGTTCTGCTAAATCTTAGCTAATTGATCGTAAGTTTCGTTTATTGTAAAGTAAGAACGATTATTGAACATTTATTCCAATTTAAATGTTTCAAGCCCCCTTTTTTTATTTAGAATCCAGGAGTTTATTTTGTTTATGCCTATTTTTTTACTTTTTTAAAATAAAGTTTACAAAATGTGTTCCTGGTGAAAGGAGTATCCAAACAGAGCGACATTTCCAGTAAGCTAATCTCTCAACCCATTTCTAAATCTATTCTCAATACTAACCCATTTTTAACAAAATCCCTTATATCTTAGCCTATTTTCTCTTCAGCACAAATTTGCTTTTTTACACGTGGGCATATTTTAGTCCAGCGAAGCCTAGCGTGTCCCCCTCTAAGCCAGGGCTGGGACTGGACAACTCATTGTGTGGGAGCCGTGGTGTGTGATGGTGGCCAACGTGGGCAGGAGAGTGGGAGGGCAGACTGGGAGCGGAAAGTGGGAGCATAAAAGGGAGTAGGGAGAGCCGGAGACCAACGTGGGAAATGATTACAAAAATAGAGATGAAGCTAAAGGTCAGTGTAATGAAAAGAAAACAGAGGTGGCGGGTGACTGTTGTCAGAAGGCCAAACTAAAATGTAAAACTATTCTAAGGAAAATAAAAACAAGATGGCGAGGGATGAATTGGCGAAAATATGTAATGGAAAGAGGGAAAAAGAAACAAAGGAAAGGAGGGAAGGTGGAAGGGAAGAATGGCGGGAAGGGTCCATTACCCGTGTCTTGTTTCCTCTCCAACTTCTCGTTGTCTATCCCTTCTTTCCTGTCTCTCTCCTTCCCTCCTGTCACGCTTCCTCCAGGGTGTCTGTCTTCCTGTCACCGCACACCACACTTTCTGACCAATAAGAATGCAGATTATACAGTACTCTAGACTGGGAAACACCTCGCCGTTCCACTTCCTAAATGGAATACATGCTATCACCTCTGTCTAGTTCTGAAGGATCCCGGTAATACAGTCGGGTTCGTTCCCGACGCACTATCGAGAATTCTGAGGGTCGAATCCCGGGCGGGACAGAAAAGGTTGGGCACATTTCCTTTCACCCAATGTCTCTGTTCACCTAGCATGTAAGTACTCAGGAGTCAGCTTGTTGTGGGGTAGCATTCTGGACAGGGTCAGTAATTCGGCCTTGGGAGAGGGGGGGGGGGACCTCGATATAAGCCTAACGTGTATGAATACAGTCTGGCTTCCTGTCCCCCCCGACACAATGAATTATTATTATTTCTATTGACTCTTCTCTGCCTTCGAAGATGTTTAAAAGTGTTTCAGCGAAACCCGCGTAGACTCAGTAAAATTATAAAGGAACTTTTGAGAGTTTATTTCTTAACTTCCAAGCGCAGAACATTAGAAATATTAGCGAAGATTCGTGTTAGTATCATTGACCTAACATTCTGAGCCAGGTTAAGTATGTCTGCAACAACTGCTTGAAAACATGGACCTTATGTATTAAATGAACTTTTTTTTAGAGTGCGAAGTCACCTGGCTCTTTCATACATGAAATTGTTTATGAAAGTAATTTTTGTATATATATATATATATATATATATATATATATATATATATATATATATATATATATATATATATATATATATATATATATATATTTGATTCGGTGCATTTTAAAAGCACCGAATCACCTTCTGTGGTTGAGTGTTCAATAAACCCTTGAACTATATGTTTAACACTTCTCTAACCCTGTCCATGGAGGACAGAAGAAAATGTATATATGCTAGTTAGCATTGTAAATGTGTGGCCACGTCTGTGGTAGAAAAAAAAAAGTACTTTAAAACTAAGAACTGAAAACCTAGAGCGCTCTCAGAACTCGAATTGGGGTCTGTTGGTACCTAAGTCGTGCTTGCTAACCACCGTGTCATCGTTAGATTAAATGAATCAAACCAGAGAACCAGATTTCTTTTATGTATAACCTTTACTAGATGCGGTTCCCGACTGCGCACAGGTCTATCTACCCTCTCTTCACCTCCCCCTCCATCATCCCCCTCTTCTCTCTCTCTCTTCCTCGTCACCCTCTATCCAAATCTCCACCAATGCCTCTCCAAAAATCCCCCCTTGCTCCTCCTCTCTCCACGCTCTTTCCTAATCTTCCCCCTCT